ACCTCCACCATCACCTCCCCATCTCCACCATCACCCCTTCACCTCCTCCATCACCTCCCACATCACCTCCCCACCTCCACATCTCCACTATCACCTCCTCACCTCCACTACCACCTCCACACCTCCACTATCACCCCCTCACCTCCACCTATTACCTCCTCACCTCCACCTATCACCTCCTCACTTCCAACATCACTTCCCCACCTCCACCATTACCTCCACACCCCCATTCTTTCCCCACCTCCATCCATTCCTTCCCCACTTCTGTCATTACCTCCCCACCTTCACCATTACCTCCACACCTCAGTTTCCCAGGCTCCCCGCTGTGCCGGGTCAGCACCAGCCCTACCTCACATTGTCGTGCCTCTGAATGTAAATCTTGTGGAAAATCCTGTCAGGGGGCTTCAGGAAGTCCTCCTTCATCTCCATGGCAACGTTCCGGGGCAGGAGGCTCATGAGGAGCCGCTCCTGGACAGAAGAGAAGGGACCGGATTAGACAGCAGGGCCCCCTCCCTCCACTCCTCCTCACCTCACCCTCCCTAGTAAGGGTGCCTGGTCTCTGAGCCTGGGTAGGCCCACGTCCAGGCCTGGACTGCCACTGAACAAGCAACTCCCTCCAGGAGCACTAGCCAGGGCTGGCACAGCCTCCCCAACACCCAGGCCTCCCTGTGGCGCCCCTCACGTTACTCCCTGGGCACACTGCTGAGTCTTGACCTATGTTTCAGCGAACAGCAGGGTTACAGCTGCGAAAACACTGCTGTCTCCACCAGGGCCCCAACCTGGCCTCTCTCCCTCCCCCTACTGCTCCAACAACACCCCAGAAAGAGTCTTCCACATTGGCTTAAAGAAACAAGCTGTCCTCCTGAGGTATCCAGAAAGTCCCCTTGTTCTTACACAGATAGGCGGCCTAGGGGACCATGTGGCATTCTTTCTTGGTTTTTGTCTTCTTATTTCTCCCTTAGCTGTGTAAGTCAAGCATTTTCTTTTTTCCCCCAAGAGAAAAGAATAAATGTTTGGATTTTTCAAAACAAGCTATGCCATCCTGGAGAGTCTTTTCCCCTTCCTAGGCCTCAGTTTCCTTGTCTGGACTGAGGGAGTAAGTAGGACTTTGATTCTCATCCTCCAGTTGGATGTTCCCTGACCCCAACCCCAGCTGGCCCTTGACCTGTTGGGCACACCCCTATGTCTGAGAGACCATGTTCCAGAAATATGGTGTGAAGTCCCCGACTCATCCCTCAGTCCCTCCCATGCCCCTCCCATCTGCTTTGAAATGAAAAGCAAAAGAGCAGAGTTTAAATCTTACATAGAATCAGGTAGAACATCCCACTGACAAGCGAGGAAACAGGCTGGAGAGGGGAAGAAGCCCCACCCCTCCCATCGTGCCCTCCGGCTCCGAGCCCCTCCACAGCGGCCTGCCTTGCTCAGTGCCAACAGCATTCCCTCCCTCTGAGGAGCCTCTGCAGGAGCCACGCAGGCACCCAGCACTGAGATGCTTCCGCCTCCTCTCCATCCTCAGCCTCGCAGGCCTGCCTGCCGGGCACAGCCCTGGGAGTCTCTCCTGCGTAGGCTACATCCCTGACCCAGGAGCAGCCGCCATCCTGTGTGACTTTTTCAGAAGGAGCACAGGTGCCCAGACACCTTCACACTCAGGGGCCACAGGAGCAGCCACAATGAAAATAGCCACCCACATCCCGAAAGCCCAGCTGGCCACGAGGGCCTCACCCCTCTGCTCCACATGGCAGATAGCGTTCCATGTGCACAGCCCATTTTACAATGGGAGAACAAATTTGGTACACTTGAAGTTTCCCCTGGTAAGTTACTTCCACATAAACTCCGGAGGAGAAAGACCAGGTCCAGCCCTGCCTGATGCCAAGTGGGGCTAAGTCTATGTCTCAGCTGCCTGAGTCCTGGCCCCAGAATCTGTGGCCTGGAGGTGTGCCCTAAGCAAAGCCAAAGTCTACACTGAGAACCTGCCCCTACCAAGGGTCCCACTGCAGTCCCCACCCGAGCCCTCACTATAGTCCCCAAGTAGCTCCCATGAAGCTCTGCCGCAGCCACCATGTGGCCTCCACCTTGGCGCCCACCTTGGCTCAGGGGATGACAATATCTGAGGAATTGAAAAATGCAAAATACTGAACTCCAAGGAGAACAAAAATGTGACAGGTGATGGGGGAGCATCCAGAGTCACAAGCGCTGATCCCAGGAAGGAAAGAAAGGCTGCTGAGAAGCCCCTGGCACACACCCCAACTTCCTGCACATGGCCCCCAGCATGGGAGACTGGAGCTCATGTGGACTACTCAGCCGTGGCATAGGGTGCTGCAAGAACCAGCTGTGGCAGAGTTACCCAGCCATCAGCTGGCTGTCCCCAGTAGCCCTGCTCCACTGCTGGCCTCACAAGAGAGCCCCTTATATTCACTGGGGTTCTTGGCTACCTGGAATAAAGATCATATTTTCCAGCCTCCCATGCAGCTAGATATGGCCAAGGAGACATAACTTGAAAGGTCATGTGGAAAATTTGGAAATGTTCCTTAAAAACATATTGTTCTAGCAAAACCAAATAATCTTCATTAAAAACTGGGCAAAAGACATGAACAGTCACTTCTCAAAAGAAGAAATACAAGGAGCCAACAAACATGAAAAAATGCTCATCATCACTAATCATTACAGAAATGCAAATCAAAACCACCATGAGATACCATTTCACAACAGTCAAAGTGGCTATTATCAAAAAGTCAAAAAACAACAGATGCTGGTGAAGCCACGGAGAAAAGGGAACATTTGGTGGGAATATACTGCTGGTGGGAACGTAAATTAGTTCAGCCACTGTGGAAAGTAATTTGGAGATTTCACAAAGAACTTAAAACAGAACTGCCATCAAATCCAGCAATCCCATTACTGGGTAGATATCCAAAAGAAAATAAATCATTCTACCAAAAAGGCACATACATGTGTATGTATATCACAGCACTATTTACAATAAAAGACATGAAATCAACACAGGTGCCCATCAATGGTGAGCTGGATAAAGAAAATGTGGTAGGTATACACCATGGAATACTATGCAGCCATAAAAAAGAATGAATGATGTCCTTTGCAGCAACATGGATGCAGCTGGAGGCCACTGAAGTAACACAGGGACAGAAAACCAAATACCACATGTTCTCACTTATAAGTGGAAGCTAAACATTGGATACATATAGACATAAATATGGGAAGAACAGACACTGGGGACTCCAAAAAGGGGGAGACAGGGAAGGAGGGAGGCAAAGGTTGAAAACTAGCTATTGGGTACTAGTATCTGGGTTATGGGATCAATCGTACCTCAAACCTGAGTATCACACAGTACATTCACATAACAAACCTGTACATGTACCCTCAATCTAACATGAAGGGTAAATTTTTTAAAAAAAAAAAAACAGCTTGTCCCTCTTCCCTTCTTCTCCTGCTGTTGTTGGGAACACAGTCGTAACAGCCAGATCTCCACCTACCATCTTGGTTTAGGAAGACGAAGGCAACACACTAGGGACACAGGTGGTGAGCTGGATGGAGACTCCTGAGGGTTTCATGGATCACACCTGTCGTACCACCATAAAGTGCCTACCCTGGAATGTATATGTAAGACAAAAAGAGCTATGTCACTTCTGTAAGCCACTGTCACATGACATTCCTAAGGACAACTGCATTTCCAACCAAGGGCTCAGCATTAGCTCCGTCCATTGGATTTGCAGCAGCACCTAAGCCAATATAAGTTAGTAACCACAGACTAAGGTACAAACCCTTTCCCACAGGAAGCAAGCAGCCATCTGATAATACTCAGCACTCATTTCTGATTAAAAAAAAAAAAAAAGACGAAATAGCTCATTCACATTATAAATATTCCACCTGAAATGCACATCCAATCTCAAAACCCTCAAGGCCCAAGCAGCAGTAAACATTAGTGCCAAGAACAGATCACGTCAATAAGCTCTAGCCAACAAAATAATTTAAAAACCCAGAAATCAAAAGTATAAAAGCTAATATGACTATGGGTCATACAAAGTACCCCAGTGTCCTATGAAGGTTATATAAACATCTTAACGCATTTATCTTGATTATCAAAATGTGACTGACTTAAATGTACTCTTAACAAAAACTAGATATTTCAGTGACAATTGTGAAGACTCTACTTCTGGGAACATGGAGAAGTATTTTTCCCTATTCCTCCTGCTGAACACAACTGAAAGTCCTGGATGTTACACATCAAACAAGCAAGACTAAAAGTCAGAGGGAAGAAGGCAGAAATCTTGAGACCAAGAAATGACATAAAGGTGAGTTCCTGAGGTTTCTTTAGCCTCATATATGCCAGACTGAGTGCTGGAGAAGTGGTCAAGTCAGCAACACCAATAGGCACAGACCAAAGGAAAACACAACAAAAGCACCTCTCTTCAGCCAAAGGCCCAGGACTGGGCAGCCTCACAAGAAGAAAACTTTCAGACATAAACCTACCTACTCCAGGCCAGAGACACTGAAAACTCTGTGCCCCAGCCCCACCCACTCCCAGAGTGAGCCAAGCCTTTCTTCTCCACCTGCTGGTAACAAGCATCCCCCAACTCTGAGTCAGTGGGAACCAAGGGGATCTCATTCTCCTCCCACGAGTCAGGTGCTATTAGTGGGGACCATGAGGGACTAGAACCCTCACTCCTGCTCAGTAGTGAGAAGGAGCCCTCCCCACATGGTATCAACAGAGGCCCAATGTGGAGCCTAAACTTGTAACTCCATCTGGCAGTAAAGAGACAGCAGCCCCCCTTTCCCAGCCAGAATCATGTCACAGAAAATCATCAAAAACAAAACGTCCAAATAACATACAGAGCTTCATACATAACATTCCAAATGCTTAGGTTCCAGCAAACCATCACTCATCATACCAAGAACTAGAACAAGCTCATCAAGTGAACAAAGACAGTCAACACACATCAGTACCAAGACAGAGATGCCAAAATAACTAATCAAGACTGTAAAAAAACCATCATAAGAATGACTAAATAAAGAACTATAAATGCACTTTAGATATATAGATATAAAAATCTTTTACAAGATAGCAATTCAGCGATATGCAACAAGAAGTATATACCCCAAACACATGGGGTTTAATCCAGGGATGTAATGCTAATTCAAAATTGAAACATCAATCAGTGCTACACACCACATCAACAGAATAAAAAAAAAAAAAACACACATAGCAATTGACATCGAAAAAGAATGTGACAAAATTCAACATCTATTTATGATGAAAACTTTCAGAAAAATGAAAATAGAAAAAAACTTCGTCTTCTTGATAAGGAATATTCAGAAAAAGCCTACACCTAACATTATACTTAATAGTCAAACATTGAATGCTTTCACTGGAAACAAGGCAAGGATGTTGGCTCCCATTACTCATGTTCAACATCTCATGGGAAAGTCTTATTAGTGCAGTAAGTTCAGAAAAG